GAGAGAGAGAGAGAGAGAGAGAGAGAGAGAGAGAGAGAGAGAGAGAGAGAGAGAGAGAGAGAGAGAGAGAGAGAGAAAGAGAGAGAAAGGGTATCGATGGTAGCCACGCGGCCAATAATGTACTTAATTGTAGCTGATATTAATGAGTACCGTGCATAGAAGGTCTCGACGAAGTTATTTGAAAAATAATGTACGAGGGCAACTTGAATTGCAATTGAGACGAAGCATAATGAACGCGAGATAGTTTAATGGCCGTCGATAGTACGACAATGTGATACCAAAACTGAGAGGGACACAACACATACACGAAAAAGCGCACCGGTAGCAACACGCGATTATTTTACGTTGAAACATATTCTCTTTCTTTGTGTATATCATTGTCTCCGTGTTAGTCATATTAGCTTCAAGAGGTATCTCATTCCCACCCAAAATAAAAATGTTGCATTGACATTTGAAAGGTCTTTAAATAAGATTCTTCGAAACACTACTTAGGTTTTTAAAAAGCTTAATTGAAGATTTAAAAATCGCAAACTAGGGAAGGATGGGGCAAAATGGAGACTTTTTACGTTTCTTTAAATGTTCATAACTCAGAAACAATTGGCTAGTTCAATAAGGAAGAGTTTTTATGAAAAATTCATTGAGTTATCGAGATTTAAAAAAAGTTACGAGTGTCCATTTTTCCACAATTGCTTCTAATCTCTCGTTTTTTGGGTGCAGGATGCTAATTAGTGCATTTAGATGTAGAACGCAGGGATTGAGAGAAAAAAGATGAAACAATTTAGGCGGTCACAACGATCGAGTCAATCTGCTGGAAGAAACATCAGCGATAGATACACGAGCTGCTGCTTCAGTCGATAAGCTGAAATTTTTTTAGTAGTAAATTATTTTATCGATTCAATCTTATTTATAAAAGTTTATTAATACGAGTAATATATGCCTACATATTGGAGTGTATATTCGAACCAATCAACTTAAGACGACAGCTCTGACGTCCGATTGATGAAATTCTTTTTTTTCAATTAATGATTCGCAGGCAGAATAGGTTGTCAACCTCATCTGTCGTTACTTTATGCAATTGATCGTATCGATCGGAGCAATTTATATACGAGTGAACAGTAGGGTTACTATGAAGAATAACATCACTTTGATGATACCGGTACATACCCCTTCAGATGATGATTACTTGAAAGATATTCGATGGGTGGTGGTAGTAGTAGTTGTTGAGTTGACTCGATCGCGGTGACGATCTCATTACCATAAGAATCAATACCAAAGCCTTATATCCCTCATTTAACGCTGATAATGGGACTTGAGGGGAGACTACCATGAGTAAGTGAGGTCTCACCCGTTGAAGATCGATTGTACATTTATAGAAACGAAGAATGAGTGCAGAAATTGGTTGGTTATTGTTCGAAATGATTGTGTGAAAATAATCCAGTGTCCTTAATTTTTGTGCTGCAGAGGTTTTTTAATTTAAAAAGGTGTAGCATAACGATCACGATTTTTTTAAATTCAATCTCTAAATAGCTAATTTTATTTTGGTTTGAATAAAAAATTGCACTATTCATGCAAAATATCCAGCAAGATTGCAATTGATAAAGTAATTCGTAATTGTGATTCTACATATTTTTGGAAAATTCTTGAAAAAAAGTCCTCTGAAGCTCGAAAATTGAGGACACAGGACTGTCATCAAGATCTTAAACATCTGCGAGACAAACGAATGAAGAACAATTATTTTTATGCACTAATTCTTTAGTTTTATTCGTATATAATCGATCTTCAACTCATACTAATCTCCCCGCAACAAAACAGTGAAAACCAAAGTCTTATATCCCTCGTTTAACGCTGATAATGGAACTTAACAATGGCGAATATTGGATAGTATGGATTATTGTTGAAAAAAAAATGGAGAAGTTACTTCTAGTCCACGTTCAGTATAATGACCTCGCACGAGTCTATACGATAATTAGGATAGAATTGCAGGACAATGAATATTTGGGGGTCAATGTCGACGAACATCCCGACACCAATTGACAGTATGAAATGAGCAAAGCAGAGTTAAGTGTATTTTATAACGTGAGATATTGTATATCGTGTCCTATTTATGTGTACCTCTATGTGTCTAGTCCTCGAGGAACGGATCAGCTCCGCCTCGGCTTAAAAAAAAAAAAATAACGAGAGAGAGAGCGAGATGATAATTTTTTTTGTTTTCTTTCTTGAACGTGAGTATGCATAAAGTAATGATTCGTACTAATCAACTATCCAAAAGAGAAAAAACAAAAATACTTTTCTTATGAATTTTAATTTATTGCAGCGTCCATTATATCCATTTATCGTCGGTGTTGTTGCGTGACTAGCGTGTAGGGTATTACCCCGTTTTTATTTTTTTTCTCCGTTTATTATTTCAATCTTTTACATTTATTTTCCTTTCATTTTATCCGCCAGAAGTGGACGAGTGAGACAACGCATTGACGGCAATTTTACTGTGAAATAAAAAAAGCCAAATCAATGCGTTTCTCATGCCCAATTCTGGCACAGTATCAATATAATTACAATTACTCTTATTACTATGACATCATTCAGTGTCATTCACTATTTTTCTCCTACTGATTATTATGATTATTATAGTATAATTATTCGTCGCCATCATTTATATTACTTTTTATGTCTATCTTTCGTCTTATAATTTAGTTCATAACACATTAGTTAAACTTAGCATCGCTTTACTCACACTCTAACAAGTTTTACACGATAAATGCATTTGACAAAATATGATTATGAAGCAACAGGAAAAAAATATATAGTCAAACATGATACATGCATAGTCCCAACAGAGTTCAATGCATAATATATACAGTCATCACTGAAAAAAAACAGCAAAGAGATACTCTGACTAAAATGATTAACAATGATGAAATTTACGCTCGCCATAATTACTTTCTCACCATCACGTAACTACTTACTGCTACTACGCTACTACTACCACCACCGATTATTTATTTATTTATTTAATTATTATAACATAACAAAAAAAAATTATGTTTTATTTGAGGATTAAACTGATTTGTGTTTGGTTCAATGGTCGTTGGTTTCTTTTAATTTTATTTATGTCTTCAGTTATAATTTCCCAATTCTCCTCCCCCTCCTCCCTAACATCATTTCCAAAATTCCCCTCGACATCGCGTCCCTCGTTGTTTTTTAATCTCACACAGCAAATGCGTACACTCGACGTGCCTGGAGCAGGTGAATAACGCACATGTAGAACGTAACTGATTTAAGATGAACATGGAAGCATGAATGTGATAAAAATTTATGATTGAAGATCTCGTTAGATTAATGTTTAAAGAATGTCCAAGTGGAATCTGTATAGGGAGTCGAGAGCGCACAAGACGAAAGAGTTAGAGTTATCAATCTCCTTTCCAATGACGTCTTTCGATTAACTCATGTATTTTCTCGTCTCGATAGAGCCTTCAACTTCGCTCTGATCGTTCTTCCTTAAAAATGATAATTAGAGACGATTGAAGGACGAGATGGGAGACTACGATTTTTGATATATCATTTCAAATTATCGTTTGACGAATTTAATTTTGAGATGCTCGTTAGGGAAGGAGAATAGACAGAGTGTGAGCCCGGACCCTTGGAAAGCCCTACGCACACACACACACACACATATGACAATTCATTTGTACATTAAACACCACTTTGACAAGTTATACTGACAGATATAAACTTATCACACAGAAGTAATGAATTTCGCAAGATCAACGCGCTCGCAGCTGAACGATTTTTCAACGCGCAACGTGGAATTTTTCACGGCCATGTGTTAAAGAATATAACATTGAAGACAGGGCAACAACGAGCT